TGAGTACTTTACACGCAGACATAGATTTGTCTTTATAGGCCCACAATATCGTATATCCTCCCATATATCGGCACCTTCCGATATTAGGTATTTTAAAGATTTTAACAGAATTTTTAATGGATTTTATTTTTTTGAAAATTTTCTAATTTGTTCCAAATGGTGGAGGGTATTCAAAGTTCGGCCCGGACGAACTTACTGCTTTTTTACTTGTTTTTTTTTTTTTTTTGATATATATGCAATGGAATTGGCAATTTAAATGCACTGCGTCTACAAAAAAACCCGTAACGTATGCATTGGTTTGATTCGTTCTTTTTTCCCACAATAACCATATTTTTATAGACTGTCAATCAAAGTAATTTAAAAACCACAATCATAAGTTAAATTTACATATTTTTGGTAAGAAAGAAATCAATTGTGTGCTGGGGTATTCTGTTTTTAAAACCGAACTTTCTAGAAATAATAGCAATTACTATATGAATTTCATATCATGTGTAAATTATTAACCTTAATGTGTCTCACGCTTTAAAAAATTATTATACTTTTCAAGAAGAATATATGTGCATGTATGTTGTTAATAAAAAAACCCTGTCTCTAAAATTAACCTTCTATAACTATAATTTTGCAAGAGAAAACCTTTTTCAGTTAACAAAGGAACCATAAAACACCCACGTTCACACACAAGTCGAGAAAGACTATAAAGCCTCGCCGAGAAGCACCTTTGTGAGAGATAAATGTTTGCGAAGAAGAAAATGTAATGGCATATCAGGACAATGGCATAACTAATGTTGCAGTGATAATGGCTTTGCTTACGACTCTCATTCCTTTGCCATAAACATACGTTAGGGGGGTAATAGCTGAATGAAGATTTATAGATTTTTATTTCTACTTTGTTTAATAAAATTCTGCGTTAAGTTTTAATGGCCATGAAAAATTGAGTTCGGTTCGTCTGTTCACTTTTTCAAGAAAAAAAGCGATTATGTAAAGCCTACAATCGGGAGATGCCGACAATGTGATATCCTACAGCAATGTTTGAGTTAATCTTTCTCTAAATCTTAGCCTCTTTTGTCTAGCATGAAGGTATCTTTGAAGATATCGAAATAATCGATGTCGTGGAGAATATTTTATGGGTGTAAGGGAGTAAAATACAAAATCACATGAAATCTTAACCGATTTTTGATACGCTTCCTTCCTTTGAAAATTCATTCTATGTGCCAAAATCCATTCAATTCGGGCTTATATCAATCATTTTGAGCACAATAAACTTTAAATCGAGTAAATATATATGGGAGTTATATCCAAATCTGATGCGATCTCTATAAAATTTGGCAAAAGTATTTCTGAGCTGCATTTCATATATTTCTCCGAATATCGTTGTTACGGAGTGCATATTATGGATATACAGGACAAATTTCTATAACTAAGCCGATTTTCCCCAACTTTGGCGCACCTATTTTCTGGATCACTTTGGTTATATGTCCCGAATTCCATCCTATTTGGGCTAATATTGCACATTTGGTGCACAAAAATACATGAACATACAGGCGTACGGACATGCATAAATCGACTCAGAATGTAATTTGTTTCCTTCTCTATGTTACAAACAAATACAGAAGGACATAATACCCTGACCCCTATGTGGTCTAGGGTATAAAACCTATATGCCTTTGGAAAATTTTATGAAAACCATTGAAGTCTTAAATGTAACCGCACTCATATCGATTTTTATACCCTAAACCACAAGGTGGTCAGGGTATTATTTTCTATACCCTACACCACAAGGTGGTCAGGGTATTATGTCTTTGTGCATTTGTTTGTAACAGGCAAAAGGAAACGAGATAGACCCATAGTTCCTTTTGATGATCTGCATAGAATCACATTCTGAGTCGATTTATGCATGTCCGTCCGTCCGTCCGTCTGTCCATGTATTTTTGTAAACAAAGTACAGGCCGCATTTATTGCCCGATCCAGATGAAATTTTGCACAGATCATTTGTTTGGCCCAAGTACGAACCCTATTAAAATTGGAGATAACCGGTCAAAATTTAGATATAGCTCCCATATATATCTTCGTCCGATTTACCTTTTATTGTCCACCAAACGTGTAATATCATCCCGAATTGTATGAAATTATGCATATGTAAGCCTGAAAATAAATATGCCAAATTTGATCAAAATCGGTTCAGATATAGCTATAGCTCCCATATATATTGCTCATGCGATTTGTTATTTTTGTCTTCCGCAGTCGTAATATGCACTCTGTTACAACAATATTTGGGGAAATATATCAAATACAGCTCAGAAATACATTTGCTAAATTTTATCGAGATCGGTTCAGATTTGGATATATCTCCCATATATAACTTCGTCCGATTTACCTTTTATTGTGCACCAAACGTCTAATATTTGTCTAAATGAGATGCAATTTGGCACTTACGACCGAATTGAGTCTAGAAGCTAGTATGCCAAATTTTGTGCAGATCGGTTCAGATATAGCTATAGCTTCCATATATATTGTTCATCCGTTTATTATATTTGTTTCCCACAACAGTAATATGCACTCTGTAACAACGATATTCAGGATATAACTCCCATATTTGGATATAACTCCCATATATATCTTTATCTGATTCCAAATTAAGTTTGCACCAAATGGGCAATACAAGTCCGAATTTAAAAGATACAAATGCTTCGGCATATTTGAACTTTAAATTATAATTATAATCATAGCGTGTATGATTGAATTCTCCCATAAAAACTTTTAATTGTTATGTGGAGCTCTACCAAATTAGCAAAGTGGTGTAGGGTATCATAAAGTCGGCCCCGCCCGACTTTAAGACGTTCTTTGCTGGTTTTTTTTTTTTTTTTTTTTTTTTGACAAAGGGATTAAACTTGAATGGACAAAGAAATAATCGCTCAATCATAGAAAATAATCGCTCATACGGTTTATAGGGGTTTGAGTGAAAAGGCTTAAATTGCTGATATCTAGAATGATGAAACTATTTAAATTTTTATACGCCTCTACCATACATGCAATGGAGGATATATGAAGTTTGTCAATCATCGAAACAATCATTTTAGACCCAACAAAGCACATATATTCTTGATCAGCGTACAATTCTTAGTTGATTTTCATTGTCCGTTTCAGGACATTTGGAATGAAATTAAGGGTTTCCGTCCGTCTATCTGTCTATCTGGCTGGTGCACACAATAACTCTCGAGAAGAGTATCCGATTTGATCCAAACTTACAGCATCGTAATATTATTATCAAACATAGATCGAGTTCGGAGATGGGCTATATCGGTTCACTCTTTCTGGAATCTCCCCCACAAAAGGTCGAAATTTTCAAGGAAATATTTATATTTGCATCAGTGCTAGGTCAGGTGTGAAAATGGACAATGTCAGTCCGCTCCATCAAGTACCACCCCATCCCAAAAAGGGTCACAATTTTGAATAATTATAACTCTTATAAAATGTGATTTAAGAGTCCGATTGTCTTCAAATTACACACATCAAAATATTTTTATGACCCCAAGATCTGGTACCTCCCCCACATAGGGTTCAATATATGGAAAAGCAAAACGCTCAAATAAAGCGAAATAAGCAATAAACTCTCTTCAAAATTCAAATAACCAAATATTTTTGCTAACGCAACATCTGTCGTGAAGATGATACATATCTGCGAACCCCTTCTGGTACCTCACGCACAAAGGGTTACAATTTTCAATGCTTTTATCTGTCATAACTTGCGAAAGAAATCAGCGATTCTTTACAACTTGCTATATCTAAATATTTAACTTAAAGAGAAATCTGAGATGAATATGGAATTTATGACTTCGCATAAATTTGGATATAAATGTTCGATTATTTTTTTATTCTGTCCATACCAATATTTTTATGTGTATTAGATAAAGTATGAAAATGGAGTACTTCCGTCGACTATATCCCGTTCCTCACGTACATTTTAACATTTTCTAAAAATGATCACATATCTCATATAAAGTGAAGGAAGTAACAAATAGAGTCCAAACATGGTACTTCGCAATATTTATATCATATTTATTCAGGTCCGTTACGATATGGGCAATGTTGTCCCATTCCTTCAGTACCTACTCCACAGAGGTTCAACAATTTGAATAATCATAACATATTTAAAGTGTACCCTAAATTGGACCGTACTGTTATGTAAATTTTTTTATCAAAACGTGAACCTATATAGCTCATCTTCCTCTAATCTCTAACTGAGAATGTCGATACCTCACTTCAATCTCTCTTACTGATCTTTATCATAAGCAAATAACATCCCATAACGTTTAAATAATTTCTAAAAATGTTTAGATAATCGAAACCACCTGTGCTCGAGCAAGCCTATCGATCACACATCTTCAACTCCTTCCAACAGATCACTACTACGAATGGATGTTCTACAAATGTTATAAATTGTATGATAATATATATCACCTTGTTTGCAACATTTGCGTGTTATCACTGGAACACACAATCGCGCACATGCCCTCATAAAAAGTAAACACATAAATACCACTGTCAATATCGAATGCCATGCCAGATGGCAGTATTGCCTGCCGCAGCGTATACGTAACGTAGCAATCAAAATAACGGAGACGCCACTACAGCCCACAAACGGAAAATATCCAAAGAGATACAAATCTCAACGCCTACAAATCAAATGGGAGTGAAATGAACTGAGCAAGGCGGATGGACGGACGGACGGCCGGGGACATGATGCCGGATGGTTGATTGTCCTACAACGACACAAAGACAACATGACACACAAGTGTACGCACACACACCCATTCAGTAGCCTGGACTCATCTGATGACGAGGTGTAAATATGTACATAGCGTTGATAAGATTTTTTAAGTGCCCATAAACACATCAGAAATTTGCAACAAAGGTCATTGCAAAAGGTCCTTCGGAATGTGCCATAAAATAAAACAACAACAGCAACAAACAAATTTACAAAGGAATGTCATCGTACCCACCTTCGGTCTTTGTTCCGTTTTGTCAAATCTTTGCAGAAATACTCATAGATATTCATGTGGCCTGTGCTCTAGTACCCCTCCAGATGTTCTCATGCCTGTCATCCGTGGCACTTGAACCGCCCGTCAAGCCTTTAGATTTTCCTTTTCCTCAGCGTGGCTTGTCAAGAATTTCCAAACAAATTTCATTAGTTTTGAAAATGTAGTGATGTTGTTGTTGTTGTTCACGTTGTTGCCATCAATGACGGTATGCTATTCAATAGCCAATGTTGCTGATGTTGTTGTTTCGTTCTCGAAGCTGTTGACGTTGTAGTTCTTCGTTTATTGTTGTTGCTCCTGCTGCTGCTATTGGAAAAGAAAAGAGACAAAAACAAAAACAATTTCAAAGGGAAATAAAATTAAATTGTATTCAATTTTATGGTTTTGGAAAATGCAAAAACAGCAACAACAATGATTGAAGTGCAAATTCTCTCACAGTTCTCAAATGATATTTAAGTATGTTTGGTATTTACAGAAGCCGCAAAAACCAACGAAGAAATAAAGAAAAGCAATTACATGAAACTGAAGCATGTACCCCGCCATACTCATCCAATGCCGCGGCGGATAGAACGGCGAAATTGATGGGGAAAGAGATGCACGACATTACAAATGATTTCAAATAATTAAGAGTTTCGATGACAAAGAGCGCACAGTGGGGGAGTTTTCAAATGAATAGAGAGAGCACAGCTTGTTTTTGTGCGGTCTTTACATATTATATTATATGTTCTTATGCGTTTTTTATACCCTCCACCATACATAGTATGGAGGGTATATTGAGTTCGCTATTTCGTTTGTAACTCAGCAAAATAATAACTTTAGACCAAACAAAGTATATATACAGGGTGAGATAAAAACACTGCAACAAAGTCAAACTCCATAATTTTATTGAATGAAAACAAAAAATGTCGGAAATAGCATCAAATTTTAGAATAAGTTTAGATTTGTTCGGCGCTTGTGTTCTGGTGGCCAGCCGAAGGTGCACATTTTCAGCTGACCTCCATGGCAAGTAAACACGATCATTTTGTTTCGGAGAAACCCAAATTCGGCAGTTCACCACTTTCGGCCAAGCGAAACAACTCTTTAGCTCTTTAAAGTCTATTTTCGTTCTGTTACGGTGTAAGTTCTGGCACTTTTTGGAATTTCAATGGCTTTAACCCGAGCTCATTTTATAATATTTGCCGAATGGAAATTGCGATATGTTCAGCTCACGAGCCATTTTTTGCCTACTGCGACGCGGGTTTCGATCAAGTCGCTTATTTACTTTTCGAACCATTTCTGCTGATGTTGCGGATTTCTTCCGTCCACTTCCTTAACGTCGGGCTACGCTACCAGTATCACGGTAACAAGCGACGGTACGAGACACAAAAGATTTATTCACATTTAAATGCTGGAGCTCTAACGATAGCCACTTGTGGTTTTCCAGCCAAATATAAAGGAATCACACTATCACTCTTGAATTCCATCACGAATAACTTTTTTTCCGGAAAATTCTCACCAAAATGCTTTAGTACGCTTGTAAAAAATATAATGAGCTATCATTGGAACAACACCTGTCCGACGAGTGGCTTATAAATAACAGGAGTCTGAAGTTGGTTGCAGTTTTTTCGTCTCACCCTGTATATGATATGTTGGTCCACTCTTTCTGGTAACTCTTCTACTAAAGTTCAGCATTTACACACATATCTCATATATGGCTACAGAGGGTATATATCATTTGATACGGTCAAAACGTGCCTAGTCGAAATAACGATTTTAGACCCTAGGTCGCTATGGACCAAATCCATTTCAGAACATTTGGAGTCGATCTAGCGATGTCCGTCCGTCCGTCCGCCTGTCTGTCTGGGTGGTGCGCACGATAACTCTCGAATGGAGTATCCGATTTGGTCCAAACGTGGTACATCGTAATATTTTTGTCAAAACTAGATCGAGTTCGGAGATGGGCAATATCGGTCCACTCCTTCTGGTACCTCCCCCACAAAAGGTCGAAATTTTCAAAAAATTTATTTTTTGCACAGAAATAGAAACTATAATCCTATATTGCTCCAACTTTGCAAATCCTAATATTTTCGTCAGTGCTAGGTCAAGTGTAAAAATGAATAATATCGGTCTGCTCTAACAAGTCTTATAAAATGTGATATAAGAGTCCGATTGTCTTTAAATTTCACATGCCAATATTTATATTAACCCAAGGTCTGGTGTAAAGATGGAATATTTTCTGCACAGAATCGATAATCCGATTTTGTTCCAACTTTGCAAATCCTAATATTTAGGTCAGTTCTAGGTCAGGTGCAAAAATGGATAATATCGGTCCACTCCATCAAGTACCTCCCCCACAAAAGTTCGAAATTTTGAATATCCATTAAGCTCTTAAAACACTAAATTAACATCCGATTCTAATCAGACTTGGATGATTTAAAAGACCGATTGTCTTCAAATTTCACATATCTCCTTTCAACCCAAGGTCCGGTGCCAAGATGGAATACATCGGTCCACTCCTTCTGGTACCTCCCCCACAAAGGGTCAAAATTTTGAGTAACCATGAAGCTCGTAAAACATAAAATTAACATCCGATTCCATTCCAGACATGGTACATTTCAATATATTCATCAACACAAGATCTGTTATAAAGATAGTAGAGATCGGACCATTTTTTCTGGTACCTCCCCACATAGGGTTCAAGATTTTTAAAAACAAAACGCTCAAGGAATTCGAAAAAAGCATCCAAATTCATCCATCCATCTCCCCAAATTTCCCACATACAGACATTATTTCTAACACAAGATCTGTTGTGAAGATGATATACATCTGCCAACTTATAACTGTCATAACTTGCGAAACAAGTCGGTGATTCTTTACAACTTGCTATATCTAAATATTTCTCTTAACCAGTATTCTGATATGAATATGTAATTGATCGGAATTTATGATTTCGCATAAAATTGGATACGAATGTTCGATTTCCTTCAAATTTTGCGCATACCTATATATTTTATCTGTATTAGATGAAGTATGAAAATGGAATACTTCGATCCGCTATATCTGTTACCTGACGCATATTTCCATTTTTCGAAAATGTGCACATTATCATATAAAGTACAAGAAGTAGTCGATATAGTCCAAATCTGTCACGTTCATAACTCAAGGCTGGGGGTATACATCTTTCGGCAAAACCGACTGATGATATTTTACTTGTTTCAATTAAATTGAATCTTGGATCATACGGTCAAGTTTCGACTAGAATAAACCTTAAGATTCATGTCAAATTGTTTCGAGTTTAATTATTTTTCATCACCTTCATTATAATTATAATTTTCATCACCCACTGTGCATTGCAGGACAGATGCGCAAACAGATGTCATCACGAAAACCACAGACGACCGACGGAGCGACCGCCCCCCCAACCAAGTGTTGATCATTCAAATTCAATATAAATCGCGTGTCTCAAATGCATCGGAAATGTTTCTCATTTTGCAATTAAAACAACTGGTGTCAAGGGAAATGTGCAACGGAATCCGGTTCCATTTAATTCAAATGGCGAACAATTCAAATGGAAGCATTTTAAATTCTGCCTTTTGCATTAACATTTCATTTATTATTTCGAGCTATAAATTTATTATCCGAAGGGAGTTTCCTTTAAAAAATAAATAAAATCAATTTAGGAATGACCTTTGCTTAGGCCGCACGAAGAAATCAGAATACATATTAAAACACCTTTGTATTTAAATAAAAATGATGTTAGTTTCAACGCTTATAACGCAAGAACGGCTGGACTGATTAGAAATTTCACACCGGAAAAAAATATCGCACAAAATGCGCCAATAAGATTTTAAATAAAACCAGTAAAGAAAGTCCTAAAGTCGGGCGGGGCCGATTTTATAATACCCTAAACCACTTTGCTAATTTAGTTGAGCTCCAGTTAATAATTAAAAGTTTTTATGGGAGAATTCAATCATACATGCTATGATTATAATTATAATTTAAAATTCAAAGGACTAAATATGCCAAAGCATTTCTATCTTTTAAATTCGGACTTGTATTGCCCATTTGGTGCAGAATTAATTTGAAATCAGATAAAGATATATATGGGAACTATATCCAAATCTGAACCGATCTCCATAAAATTTGGCAAAGATATTTTTGAGCTGTATTTGATATGTTTCCCTGAATATCGTTGTTACGGAGTGCATATTACGGCTGTAGGTAACAAATACAACAAATCGAATGAACAATATATATGGGAGCTATAGCTATATCTGAACCGATCTTCACCAAATTTGGCATACTACCTTCTATACCAAATTCGGTCGTATGTGCCAAATTCCATCCCATTTGGGCAAATATTAGATGTTTGGTGCACAATAAAAGGTAAATCGGACGAAGTTATATATGGGAGCTATATCCAAATCTGAACCGATCTCGATAAAATTTAGCAAAGGTATTTCTGAGCTGCATTTGATATATTTCCCCAAATCGGATGAAAAATATATATGGGAGCTATAGCTATATCTGAACCGATTTAGATCAAATTTGGCATACTTATTTTCAGGCCCAATTTGGTTGTATTCGGGCTGATATTACACGTTTGGTGCACAATAAAAGGCAAATCGGACGAAGATATATATGGGAGCTATATCTAATTTTTTACCGATTATCTCCAATTTCAATAGGGTTCGTCCTTGGGCCAAACAAATGTTGTTTGCAAATCTCAATCGGATAATAAATGCGACCTGCATTTTGTTCACAAGAATACATGGAAAGACGGACGGACGGACAGACGGACTGACATGCCTGTTACAAACAAATGCACAAAGACATAATACCCTGACCACCTTGTGGTGTAGGAATATTGGTTTCTCACATAAGAAAGTATATATGGATTTTCCTATCTCGCTGAGCTGAGTCGATCTAGCTATGTATGTCCGTCCGTCCGTCTGTCCATGTTAATTTGTAATCACTCTACAGGTCGCAATTATGGTCCGATCTTCACGAAATTTAGAATGGAGGTGGGGCTGGAGCCAGACAGAAAAATTTCCTGATTTTGCAGTTGCTCAACAGGTCGCAATTATAGACCAACCGACGCCAAATCGAACATGGGGCTAGAGCTGGGCTGGGCAGTAGCATTCAAATTTGAATGGTCATCGGGTAATATTTAGTGAGTGAAATAGACCATTACCTTTGTGTTAAATAAAAGTGAAATTTTCCATTAAACAGCGAATATTTTTAATCCCGACGACTGCTGCCATTTCTAAGCCACTCGTCCGACAGCTGTTGAAATTATTCCAGTGACAGCTTATTATATTGTTTAC